ATTGTATTGTTTTTAAATATTTTGTTTATAACATACTGTTTACTTATACAAGTAAAAAATATTATGTTAATCATTGATATTTTATTCAGTGTGATCCTTGGGCCTGATGTGTGGTCAGTGATAAGCGAAGATCGCCTCTCTTCACAACATCAAGGCGGTTACGTATTTTGCATGGCAAATAAGTCACCCGACTAAATCCAAATTCAACCAGATAAGATGTGGGAAAAGCGATAAAATACAACTTTGTCTTCTCCCAGAGCTGTGGAAACTTAATTAGCTATTTCACTACTTATCCAGAAATAATTTTTGTCCGTTTGAATATAGCTTGGGGTGTTGAAATATTTTATTCGGGCAGTAAGGTTCAGCGGCCCACTCAGAATTTACTATTGCCCCCCTAATAGTCCATCATTCAAGTATGGCCCCTTAGAAACATGGCGTGGCCCCCTGGGAGGGCATATGGCCCACGTTGAGAACCACTGCTATAGACGAAGCTGTCTAATTGGAAACTTTGTTTATATGCAAGTAAGCATTGTTGAATATCTAAGCCCTTTTCGACTGTTAACAATAAAATAGCTTTCTAGGCAACTTTAAATGAGTGTGTATATACGAAGTAAATCCTTGGCAAGTAACGCGTAGATACACATATGATACTTATAATGGTTGGAGACGGCTTGAATGGGTAATGAAGAAAAACTTTGATATAAGTTTAACATAACAGCAAATGTACAACGTTTCGTTTTGTCATCATCAGGTATGATACTTTCTGTCCACGTAACCGAAGCGTGAAAATAGGTGTACTCGCTTTACTTGCCTGCTTTACAACTTTATCATTAGTGTATTTTAAGATATTGTTTTTGTCCACGTAATTGAAGCATGAGGATTACCTGTTTTACTGGCTTGCTTTATAACAATTTTATCATTAGTACGTTTTAGGATATTTTTATTTTCCACGTAATTTAGGCGTGAGGATTACCTGTTTTATAATAACTTTAACGTAAATATATATATATATATACTTGTGTTCTCAGTTGAAGATTAACAATAACTATACAAAGGCTTAATTTAAACAGATTACAGACGACAAAAACAATTACTTTCACAATAGTCAGCTTTAATATAAATTGTATTTGTCAAATAATTATATTTGTGAGCTCTATAGTCTAGATATAAGTATTTGATCACATTAGGCTTAAGGAGCCCTTATATGAATGAACTTCAAGGAGGATTAATTAATTAAATGACCCATCTAAACCTATGAATATATACACTGCTTTACTATATGCGACACGCATTATGGAAAGCCTATGTAGTTGATAGACAAACAAGAATCCCTTCTTTTTAGCCACAATTTGGAAAAATAAGGCGCTTTGTAATTTTATTAAGAAATTATACCAAATAACAAATATGATAAATTTTAAAAAGCATACTTGTTATCGAAATGCCATTTCTGCATCTTTTGTAGTCACTACTAAAAAAATCTTAATAGTAATAAAAGAATCAGTATTTTGTCCTGTTTTTTCACACCTCTTAACACATTTGGTTGTAAATTTTAACACGGGTCACATATAGCACAAAAGAGACACTTAGAAGTAGATTAGTTGGAAGTTTCCCAAGGCAAACGGATTGGCACAATTGTCGTAAATAACCTTCCTTTGCCAATAAACACTTGTTTGGATTTTCATTTGCAAAAATTATAAAAATGGCAGGTTTTATTTCAGAACACATGGAAAACAAAAACATAATTCAATAAAAAAATCATGTAATTGCTCATTTTTATTTGGGAATAGTTTCTTTATTAGTGATGTAGTTAAAAGACTAAAGAAAGTGAATGACACTAATATGTTCAACCTTATGCCCCCATGGGTTAAACAACCAAATCAAAAACCCCAAGGGTTCAGATATAGAAGTATCTAATTTTGGAACTACTGGTTATAGGAAGATCAGTTAGCAGCCGCACTCGAGGGCACATGAGCTTTGTCCGAATCTTTTGACACTGGATCACACTGTCACATTTATAACACATTCGCACTTAAAAGTGCGGAATGTGTTCAGCTACATATGGCTCGACCAGCAGGCTAGCACCCTAACTATTAGGTCACGCCCAATATTGTAATGTAAAAACTAGACTCACGAGTAACTATAAACAACTATTATTAAAGTCAACATTCTGCGTAAGTTAGAAATGGTTAGAAGTGCACGAAAAGGGAAGACATCTTAGTTTAATCATTTAAACTGATCATACAGTTCACAGTATTTAACCAATATACAACTTAACTCCTGCAGGTTTTATATAGTTGTATCTTCCACTAGAAAGCTCTACTGATTATAGCTAATTACTACAGATTTTTTTTCTAGTTTCAGCACAATCGCATCTAATTAAAATCACAATTCCTGTATTAGAATTAAACTGTTGATATTTTGAGTAAAGTTAGGATCTTTGTCAATAAAAAATTATCTTAATTATATATTAAGGTATTAGTTATCGGATATATATATATATATATCTTTAAATAGTACGTCCAAATAGTGGATCCACCTGATCTTCACAATTTCACTCTTAGTAAAGGTAAAAAGGTGTACTTATATTGTACACTTAAAGACCAGGCAGCCTAATAATACATTAACCTGCATTTCTGGAATCTTATAATGTACACTTAAAGACCAGGCGGCCTAACAATACATTAACCATGCATTTCTGGATCCTTGTAATGTACACTTAAAGATCAGGCAGCCTAACAATACATTAACCTGCATTTCTGGATCCTTGTAATGTACACTTAAAGATCAGGCAGCCTAACAATACATTAACCTGCATTTCTGGATCCTTGTAATGTACACTTAAAGATCAGGCAGCCTAACAATACATTAACCTGCATTTCTAGATCCTTGTAATGCGCACATAAAGATTTGGCAGCATCTCAATATTTCTGTATTTCTGGAAAGAAGGCCACTGTCAAGGCCTCTAAAAAGCACAATATTCTGATTTGATGAAGCAGATGTAAATCTCACCATTATACTTACTATGTTGTCTGATGCAATACCTTCAATTATGACTTCTTTAATTGCACGTATACTTCCAAATAAACATATGTAGTTTAACGATGAATGTGAAACGTACGTGGCCACAGATGCGAGACCTTAATAGATAACTATAAATATATCGTGTTCACTCTTATCACTTGTTATTGCTGCATAGGTGAACAGAAACACTTACTATGAAGTATCATTACATGCATGTCGCAGCAGTAAACTGAGCATCAGTTTATTAAGAAAAGGCCTAAGAGCAGATCTTCAGTATTATAAAAGTTGTAGTTTTAACACCCTAGTAACACACATTCCCACCGTGAATTATAATTATTAATTTTGACACATTCTCAACTAGAACTTTTTTATGTGATAGTACACAGCTTTAAAGGTGAACCTTTGGGAGTACTTGTTTCTAATGTACTACCAGGAAGTCGGTCCACCGAATGATCAGGATTCTAGGATGAGATGAACACAATTACCAGCGTTTGTTAGAATTTTCATATCTTGTTCATGTCCGACCTTCTCAAGTCACTGTTCATAGTGAACAAAGGTCTGGTTTCCACGCTGAAGCTTTCCTCCTCGAATCACTACTCATTCTTAACGAGGAGCTGGTTCCCATGCAGAAGCTTTCCTTCTCAAATAACTGCTCATTATTAATGATGATTTGTTCCCACTCTGTAGCTTTCCTTTTTAAATCACTACTCATTCTTAACGAGGAGCTGGTTCCCACGCTGTAGCTTTCCTTTTTAAATCACTGCTTATTCTTAACGAGGATCTGATTCCCATGCAGAAGCTTTCCTTCTCAAATAACTGCTCATTATTAATGATGATCTGATTCCCATGCAGAAGCTTTCCTTCTCAAATAACTGCTCATTATTAATGATGATTTGTTTCCCACGCTGTAGCTTTCCTTTTTAAATCACTGTTTATTCTTCACGAGGATCTGATTCCCATGCAGAAGCTTTCCTTCTCAAATAACTGCTCATTATTAATGATGATTTGTTTTCCATGCAGAAGCTTTCCTTCTCAAATCACTGCTCATTATTAATGATGATCTGATTCCCATGCAGAAGCTTTCCTTCTCAAATCACTGCTTATTCTTAACGAGGATCTGATTCCCATGCAGAAGCTTTCCTTCTCATATCACTGCTTATTCTTAACGAGGATCTGGTTCCTGCGTTGAAGCCGTCCTCAAATCATTGTTCATTCTTAGCGAGGATCTGATTTCCACACTGAAACTGTCCTTCTGAAATCACTATTCCTTCGTCAAACATTGTTTTACGTATTATCAGTAGGTTCCGAAGCTTCCCACAATACTGAAGTTTAACAGTTTGGTCCTCGTAAAAGTCGAACTGCTTTGAATCTAAGAAAACTGCAAAAATGAACACAGATAATGAAAAATTAAAACATGAATTATATGCAATGCAACATTGTTATGCCCTGTTTCTTGTTGTTTAAACATTGCAGTGTAGTAGTAAAGGATCTTAACTTTGTTTTTAGACTCATAACGTGGATTTAACATGAAAATTTACAATTTTTTCAGACATTTCTCACGTCTTTTGACGTCTATGCCGGCAGTCTAGAACTAGTCAGTATTAAATACCTTAACGTGACAAAACGTCTTAAAACATTTTTCATTTTAAGTTAAGTATCTCGTTACACACTACAAAAAATTCTCATTATACATATTTAGTTCATGCTCATTCTAAATCATAAACACTGACTAGTACTTATGAACAAGATAAGAAATACAACATAGAAATATTAGTTGCATTCAGAGGGTAGACAATCAGAAAATGGTTGCATAAACATATCAATTATTAACTGTGACAACTGTGTAGATGAACTGTGAGGATACATAGCTTTTGCCTGTTATAAGGATTATTAAAACATCGAAGCCCGAATGTATAGCTTAAGTGAGGAATATCGAAAGCGTGAACAACGTGCGGCATCAAACCTTGGTAACATTTAAAAAATATAAGACTTAAGAGTACCTTTTAAATATTTAAAGAAAGTATAAATCAAATGTTATACCTATACAATCCCAATGAAAGTACAGGTATATTCAGTCTTTGTTTGTTTGTTCTAAAACAAAGTCGCGTTGGGCTATCTTCTGTGTCCACCGCGGGGAATGGAAACCCGGATTTTAGCGTTGTAAATCCGTATACTTACCGCTGTCCCACCAGGGGACTACATTTATTCATCTTATTTTCTAATATCAGTATAAATTATTCTAACTTCTAGAAGCCTGAGGGGAAAAAAACCACGAATAAGTAAAATTTTTTTAAACTATGTATAAATCTTGGAAATTATAGAGATGAGGTTAATCTTGACACTTCTAGATAAAATATTAATTATTTCATGGAAAAACAGGTAAATTCAATATTAATGTTTTTCATGCTAACTATGGATAAAGCTAGTCATGGTAGTTTTAAATTGATAAAAAAGAGAATCATTTAGTCCTAGAAAACTTCAAAAACACTTTATAATCTTGACGTCTTTGGAACAAATACGTTAATCTAAAAACACATCTAATTTTAGCCTCTTTTAGAAGAAGTGTCAATAAATATAACTTATTACCTCTAAATAATAAATAAATAATTTAAAAGTTAATCTAATTTCTAATTTTTGTTTTATTCATTTTAAGTCGCGCGTGGCCTCTTAAGTAAGTAAGCCTGGCGTGGTTCGCGCTCGATTTTCAAACATGAGGGCTTTATAATAGGACGGTCAAGCCCACTATTCATCTGTTAAGAATGACACAACAGTTGTGGTGGGTGTTGTCGACTAGCTGTCTTACTTGTAGTTTATCACTTCAAAATTAGGGACGGCTAGCAAAGATAGCCCTTGAGTAGCTTTGCGCGAAAATTCAATGAACAATCAAACAAATTAAATAAACAACGAAATTTTTAGATAAAATGTTCACCAAGCTATACTTCATTATACTTGAATGACGGATTAGGTCTTGTCTTTCCTTTTTTTGTTTTGTTTACCTAACATTATTCTTATTTAATAAATTTCACTCTTACTTATGTCTTTTCTCTAAAATTATCGAACTGAGAAAGATTCAATCAATCTGAACATACAGAAAAGTATTTGTTTAGTTTTCTAAGAGGCTCGATTCATCTCGTGCTTGAAACGGTTAGCTGTTCGTCTGCGCTTCGATTACATTAATCGTATCGTGTAACACAACATATAATACTGAGAAATATTTGGCTACCTACCTTCATTTTCGTTTTCTACGGCGCAGGGGGACAAGCAGTGAATAAAAGAAAAAACGAAGAACGTTAAATAGGGTTAGAAACGAATAGATATCAATGAGAAAACATGATGAATTACTTTTGGTACCTAGTTAGGGTTAGAGTTACAGAACAACGTGCCTTATTAAGTGCACCAGAGTAGCCTAATTTCCTTAAGATAAAGAACTCTCGTCGTTAACGTTTAAACATAAAATGAGTTATTGAATCAAAGATTGCCAGTGTTTCAATAAAACGAACAATGCAATCTGTTGGTTCGAAAGTGAAAAATAAAACAATCAATAATTGGTATTAATAGCTTTGTTTTATATTAAAAACATTAATAGTAACATTAGGGCCGAATCATTTATCCAGCATATCGTTTTGTAGCAAAACAAAGTTACATATAAAATGTTACATTTACACGTTTATCACTAATAACAACAAACTGTCATAGTTTCTATATTTAAATAAGTATCTTTAACATATCACAAATTACAAACACTAACCAAAATCCATAATTTCCACAGAATATTAACAAAAACAGAAAAGCGTGAAATGCAGTATTAGAAATAAAAAAAATTCCATAGGACTTACAGTATCATGTTTTTACATTTTTAATAAAGATCAAAAGTCAAGTATAAAGAGAGGTATTTAATAAAAGAGGGTTTTAGTCAATGTGTGAAAACCCACACATTATGTCCATATCATAAACTATAAAAAAAGGAGCAAGTTTTTTCACTTTGATGCGAAACATGCGTCATATTTCAATGTGAAACATGTCATATATTACGTGAAAACATTAAGCTAGGTAATGAGTAACCAGGATAGATGGAAAACCATTCGTAAAAATTAACGACTAAGTACAATATTTCCATTGGTCTAAAAATTGATATTTTATGTTTTTCTTCATTGTTTATATATATACACATTAATGCAATAACAGTAGCGTAGCCAGAGAGGTGGTCGGGGGTGGGAACGACCCCTCTAATACTATAAAAAACCTAAAAGACACACTATCTTCTAGTTATTTTCAATAAACACTTCACTTTCACATAAATCACGAGAATCCTTTGTGTAGAACTGCATTTCCCATGCGGTGGTTCACGAACTCCTAGGGGTTCGCGAGAACTTTTGGTAATAGCATCTTTTCTCACTTTCCTCGTTCTACAGTTTATTCAAATGTTTTAATTTCCTTTTAACTTATTAAAATATTTACGAAAGGAAATAGCTTGACGCAGAGCCAGAATTAAGACCAAGTCTATCTTCTGTTGAGCTGAACTTTAACGCACTGTGTTCTTCAAAACAAGCCCAGAAGTCTCATTAGTTTCAGTTAAATGGTTTTGTTTTCAATTTTCTTTTATGTTTCAAGAATTATATTTCAGTTTTACTGGGTACTGATTGTAAATTGAAGACAGTTGGCAAACAACTAACTATAGCATTGGCTTAATTCCCGTTAGTAGGTAATTTTTTTCCGTTTAAAAGAGTAAACATTTCATTTTTAAAATTATTCGAGATAATTGAATATTTATGCTAAAGACCTAAATGAGAGTTCAGTCAGTAAGTTTTTTCTCAATAAACTCTGACAAATGCTTAACATGTAGAGCATTTATAATGTCTTGCACCTTGTAGTTTGAGTTAATTAAACTTCACAGCACGTGACCGTCATAACACGTGAAAAAAAAACAAACAAGACAGAAATCGCCTCGAAGTGATATTGGACGTGCTCTTGACTCTGTGTAAAAGTAGAACCAGGGAACGCTGATTCATTTCGAGTGATAGCTGATTAAGAATGTATGAGTCAGCACGAAAAACCAGACAGTAAAAAAAAAAGAAAGAAAAAAGAAAGTAATAACACATCAGTATAATAATGCACGAATGAGTAACGAATTAATAAAATGTTATAAAACGACTGGTCTCGACAAGACAACTTTTTTACCAGATAGGTTTTAGTTTTGTTGATTTTAAACAAAAAAACTACACAATGATCTATCCTTAAAGTTGCAGAAGTTTCTAGCAGTGTTGTGCTATCTAGTGGCGAATTTTTGGTATCCAATTATGTGACGGTCATACCCTGTAAATATCAACCCTGTCATGTCTGAATTACCTCTCCCCTTAACTGGATGCAAAAAAATATATAAATGCTCCATATGTTGATTAGGAGTTTATATATACTTTCCATTTTTTATTCATCTTGATAATTATCTAGTAACGGTGACAATAAACTTACGGGTCTGATGTGTCATTCCGCTTTGTGGAAATAGTCCGTCGATGAGTGCCACTTTTTAATCTTCCAATCTTCATGAACACCCTTCCCACTGTTGTCTGAAAACAAAAACAGTTTTATTCTGAGCTACATTTCTGGTGTTGTT